TGTTGTTTCCCATCTTTAATTAGGTGTTGGAAGCAACACTTATAAAAAAGGTTAAAAAACTGATTCTCATAGCTAAAAAATACATTTTTAATCATGGCATTTTGAGTTACATAGGTAAGTAATTGGATCGTTTTTCAGTTACCAATGGAGAAAAACAAATGTATGATGTGGTTAGCCAAGGACCATGGAAATTACAATTCTAGAATAAATTCACTGCACTGAATCAATATATAGAAGACCATAGATAGTCTTCATTGTATAGATTATTAACTGAAAGTAACCTAGGGACAGCAGTAATACATTTAGGAGAAGCTTTTTGTTTGTGAGCTATTATTAATTATAGATAGAATGCTGTGAAACTATTATGATATTCTGTTTCTAAGTGAAACTATGATTGTTTTTGAGTTTGGTTTGTTTTATATAAACTTGCATACAGGGTAAATCCATGACAAAGGATTCCCAAAGCATTATAGATGAAGAGAAAGCACAGAAGCTTGTGTGCTTTATAACACATTATTTGATTTTACTAAAACTGGAGAGTGCAAAATCTGGTACAGCTTTGCATAGAAACCAATCAGCTTCCAGGGTTTTTTTTTTGTCAAAGTGTAATTTAAGAAACTGAAGTTAGAAGCTGAATGGTTACTATGCACAGCTGCACCAGATTTTTCACTCTCCAGTTTTAGTAAATCAACTCTGTCTCTGATTGAAACCACTTCTAAAACCTGGTGAGTGGAAGAGTGGAAAATGAGTTACTATAATTCACTTGTGGGATTAAATTTCATCTGAAGCTATTCTGCTATGTAAGCAACAGGCTGTGCCGCAAGCACCACACTTGGCAAACACACCATTTGCAAACAGGAAGGAGCGACAATACTTACACTAAGCCAGGACTTCCTACAATGGGCTACATCAGCTATGCATATAAATTATAAATTCAAACATTGTAACCAAGCCTGCTGAAATGTGATGCTTCTAATTAATTACCTAAAGTAGACCTGTAATGGTTACAAATCTTTCAAAGGAATGGAACTTAATCATAGAGTATCTATGAATAAAGGATATTCTATCATTCAAAATTTGTTTGTACAGACTTGTCATGGATTCTGTACTCTGCTTTGTTATTCTGTTTGACGTTAAGAGCCTAAACTGGTTATCTTAGTTTGGTAAAATTGTGTTTTGCTTCAAACAATCTTAAATATCCCTTTGTTTAGTCAGGATTAGGATTAGTCAGTAGACACTTGCAGCTATTATTACCCACTGACTTCCCATGTCTCTTCTCAGCTCCACTAATGGTTGAGCTCAGTTTTGTATGGGCTTAGCCTTTTAGAACAAATTTCAAACTGTGTCCTTCCATTTCAACAAAAGGACATAACATCTGAATCAGACTTGACACACAAAATACTGATGCATTGCAAATAAGCAGACCTCATCTATCTTGCTTAAGCATACCTGTATCTAGAGTATAGTCTTTTAAGCCATATAGCTGTGGGTTAATAAATACTGAAGTTACAGCCACAAAATGGTGCACCAAATGTATATTTTAAAATAATATTTCACTTTGCAAACACAATGTTTCTTTTACATAAATTGTATAAGCAATCTTTTTCAAACACCTACTACAGAAAGCCTGCATATATTCTTTTTCTTTCAACAGCCTGGTTTAAGTAATTGTCTTTCCTAGTACAATCATTTTCAGGTAGCCACTTCTGTATTCAGGCAATATAGCAAATGCAGCTGCTGATTTATGAGCCACTGAACCTTAGAATGATCTAAATCAATAAAAAATCCAATATGATTATTTGCATAACTATAGCAGTGACAGATGATGAATTTGGTCCCAAACTCATCATGCAAAATAACGATAAAAAAAAAAGCCAAATCCAAATGATGCACTGTACGTGTGAAATAATATCCACAGACTGCCATGCATGTAACACATAAACCAAGGTATATTCTTTACAACTGATAACAGAGGATTCATTATTCAAACACTTCAGCATGATCAAACTGGAAATGACCTACGTATTGATTTGCTGGAGCCTTCTAATTCATCAGCATAAATCTGCAAAATAAATTGTGAATAAAGTAATCAAACAGTGGCTTCTGCTTTTGCCAATGTTGTTATAGATTGTTGTTTATCCTTGCAACTACAGCTCATTTCTTAAGCATTCACATGCTTTATCAGTATCTGAACTTAGGCAGTGTTGCCTATTCCATTTTATATGCAATTTTCTCCAGGACAGAAAATAAAAGTTACATGCATTATCAGGGTTACATTAATTAGTTACAACATAATGACAACACTGAAAGCATGACGGATTAACAGGTAAAACTGTTGTTATAGGTTTTACATTAATATATTAAATGATTTTGGCAACAGCAGCAATGATACCCAAGACAAAATGTCTGACCTAACTTTGGATCACTGGTGCATAAGGCCCCATGTAGACCCCAAGACTGGACAGAGACCCAACTGGGATCCTTAATAAGACCCTGCCTGGTCTCAAAAGATTTAAAACCTATTTTCCTTTGCATTAAATCACAATGGGGGGAATTTATCAAAACTGTAGCAGTCAAAATTTGGAGCTGTCAAGCATGTCAACCAATCAACTTCTATCTTTCATTTTCAAAGCTTAACTGAACAAGATGAAGATAGAAGCTAATTGTTTGCCATAGCTGTTCCAGATTTTGGCTGCTCCAGTTTTGATAAATTGCACTGTATGTTTACGTCTCTGGAGGCCCAAATGCAAGGTTCACTGCTAAGTCAAACTTGACCTTGGTTAAAGTTAGCTTAGTTCCATACCCCCAAATTGGGACCCATAGCTTGGTAGAGAAAAGAAAGGGGGCAGACAACAGCTGAATAATATTAAGGTAGTAATTACAAATCTATGACATACAGTAATCAAAATACGCTACTGCAAATGCTTGCAATGTAAAAGTCATTGCAAAAATTATTATCAGAAAATAATAAAGTTGAGAAGCACCTCACCTGATATTGAAATGCTCCAACAGATAACCTATAGGGAAAACATGGATCTCTAAGTGATTGCTTTTAAAATCTGCATTCAGTTTAATGATTGATTGGCATTATGGTTTTATTTAACCTTTTTATTACTGTTGCCAGCAGCTGAGAAGCACATCCACAACTCTCCAGACAATGTCCCCACTGCAGTGAAATCCCCTATGTACTCCCTTCCAGTTTCTGTTCCACTTCTCCCAGTAAATCCTGGCTGTCAAAATGACAGGGAGGCCTTAACCGCTTGCAAACCTCCCGCCTGTCCGCAATGTACTGTGGACAGGCGGTAGCTACAGGCAAAGCAATGTATCCGTATGTTACTTTACTCTTCCTGGTTTAGAGAGCGTGTGCGCGCCCCGCCCCGCCCCTCCCCGCTAAGCCCCGCTGTCATTCACTGTACAAAATGCATGTCAGCAGGTCTCAGCCAGTGATTTTTGGCTGGGACTCTGCTGACCTCCTACAGAAAATGGAGAAGCAAATATTAGTAAATACAAGCACAGGATCTAGCTGGATCTTCTATCCCTGGAACCATTTTGTTCCAGGGAGAGAAGAAAGACAAACTACACATGAGTAAAAGCAGCACATTGCACCCACACACCTTAGATACAACATTTTAACCCCTTGATTGCCACATTAACCCTTCAATTGCCCCCTGTCACCCTGAAGTGCCATTAGTACAGTGTCAGTGTACAGTATTTTTCACTGATCACTGTATTACTGCCACTAGTGATGTCAGATAGTGTCAGATAACGGCAGGGTCAGTTAGCGCCCCTCCCAGCTAGGGTCAGGTAGTGTTAGACAGCCTGCAAACTATCGCACTCACGCTATAGGTCGCAGATCACTATCATTACTAGTATAATTTTGTACAAATCAATATATTGATTATGAACAGAACTATACCAGTGCCCCCTTAGTATTAGTGTCCCCAAAAATGCAGCAGGATCAGCCTCGTTCACTGTCAGTACTTCCGTTAAGCCCCAACGCCCTCCTACCCTACCGCTAACAAGAAATGCAGTGTCAGTGTAATTTCTGATCAATGTGGCCTGTGATACATTGCACACAAAACCGCAGTGTTGGCAGAATCAGGCCTGACCTCTGCTAGCACTAGCAGCTGAATTTTATTGGTAGTGGTTCAAGCAGTGCCTGACAGCCAGGTGCTCTTTTTCCTGTAAGTCATACTCGGTACCTGTAAATTTAGAGCCCAACATCTCCCAAAAAAGGTACACTGGTGAAGAGGCCTACAGGATTCTGAGCTTTAGATGAGAGCGCATGGGAAGCCTCTCTAACAGAATCTGCCTCAGAATACGAACCTGTATAAAGCAGCGACACCCCATCAGGTAGCTCGGACAATAGAGAAGAGGTCCCTGTTAAGATCAGGCGTATGAAGCTGAAGTGCTAGGAATGCATGACTTGTCTCATATGCAGCAGAGTGCCAGTTCTAGTTCAGCACTACCTTTTTGTGAACTGGTGAGTGCTAGCGATCTAGTACATCCTGGTCTTTTTCATACAAACACGGCGGCAGTATCACTTGGTGACATGGTGAGTCCCATAAGTGCAGTATAAGCTGGTGCGGTGGTGAGCACAAGTAGCATCCCGCAGCCACCAAGAATTCACACACAAGCCCATAAAGCCCATAGTATCCTTCCGGACATGCTTGCAAATTACTAATTAGCAGCTCATAGATTCTGCAGCACCTGTACTTCCCCCTTTCACTGCCCAACCCGGAATTCAGGTAGAATTTTTTTTTTTCGCAGAAGATTTATACAATTTAATTGTGGGCCAAAGCAATTTACATGCTGAGCAATATATCACCGCCCAAATTCAACTCTTGTCAGAAAATGCACATGGAAACCTATTACGGCAGTGGTCTCCAAACTCCCAGGGCCAGATGCAGCCCAATGCTAGCCTTTATGCTGCCCTTGGGGCACTATTCATCTATGATATGAGACACTATTCCTCCTACTGATACCAACAGTGGGGCATAATACCTTCCACTAATGCTAATGATGGGGCATTATTCCTCCCACTGACACCAATGGTGGGGCACTGTTCTTCCCACTAATACCAATGATAGAGCACTATTCCTCCCACCAACACCAATGATGGTGCACTATTCCTCCCACCAACACCAATGATGGGGCACTTTTCTTCCCACCAATACCAATGATGGGGCACTATTCCTCCCACTAATACCAATGATGGGGCACTATTCCTCCCACTGAGACCAAATATGGGGCACTATTCCTCCCACAGACACCAATGCTGGGGCACTATTACTCCCACCAGTGCCAATGCTGGGGCACTACTCCTCATCCTACTGACCACCAACACTAAGGCAATGTCTTTTCTCACTGATGCTGGGCCTGAGACTCTGGTCACCCCCACTGACCACAATTTGGCCACCTTAAAGTCAGAAGGATAGTAAACTGGTCCTTTGTTTGAAAAGTTTGATGACTCCTGTATTACGGTTTCTGAATTTAAAACTTTTTTGGACCTAACCATCAACATGGGCATTACAGAAAAAAGAATGATTTGCTTTCGCATTAGTCCACAGACCCAATTCATCATATGCCCATGTTCTCTGCTGCCATGGCCAGGCATAGATATGAGACAATAATGTGCTTCATGCATTTCAGTGACATACTCGGTCGTCCTCAGGATGACCCTGAACATGACCGGATCTGCAAAATTCGGTCCCTCATAAACAACCTCACTGATGCAGATGTATATATATGCCCCAGAAAAACATCTGCATGGATTAGTCCCTCGTCACTTTACTGGCCACCTTGCATTCAAACAATACCTTCCCAGCAAGCTTGCCAGATCTGGGGTCAAACTGTATAAGCTCTGTGAGAGGGCCACAGGCTATACATATCATTTTAGGGTTTATGAGCGAAGAGACAGCGAAGTAGAGCCCTCCAACTGCCCAAACTACATGGGGAGTAGTGGCAAGATAGTTTGGGACTTAATGTTCCATAAGGGATACCACTTATATGTGGTCAATTTCTATACAAGCATTCCACTATTTAGACATTTGTACCTAATTGCTGTACCATTTGTACCATGGCAACATCTAATGTTTGTGTAGTATTATGTTCAGCAGACTGTGTTCTTCTATTGTTGTGACTTAGATGACGTTCAGAGCACATTTTATGCCCAAGTCATGCAAAACTCCACGTAATCCCAAGGGGTTCACATACTTTTTCTTGCAACTGTATATAACGCTTTTGTAATTTGTATTTGCAAAGCAACTGGATGAAATGGATCCTTCCTAAAATTTCATGAAGAGATCATCACATCCAATTAGTATCCAGAAGGTGCTGTGGCCCAATCCCCAAATCCAGATGCAGTTAGCCAGCTGCATGAGAGGCATTTTCTGGATGTCTTCTCTGGTACTCCAACTCAAAGGTCACCCCAAAGAAGATGTTGTGTCTGTAGCAAAAAAGGAATAAGACACCAAACCTGCTTTTTTTTCCCTCTTGTCTTGGTTAGCCTGGTCTCTGCCTCAAGGACTGCTTCTGTCACTACCACACACTAGTGGAGTATTAGTATAGGGTATGGCGCGGCACAATTTAGGGCACATATTCACCATTTTCACACAGGGTCTCGAAAGATGTCAGATAGTCAGGAAACGGTCTATCACATTTTGAGAGACCCGAAAATCAGAGGCTGATACAAAAAAGTAAAAAAAAAATGAAAATAAATAAAAAAGTTAAAACGTTAAAAAGAAATAAAAAATCCCCCAAATCATTGTCTTTTTATTGAGTTAATGTTCTATTTTTACTTTTTTTATTGTTTTATTTTATTGTTTACCTTTGTTTGCTTTGCAGTAACGCCATCCATCTGCAGCACCGATCTGTTTACTCTAAAAGCAACATAGTCTTACTCTCAGAATATGTATGTCAGTGTGTACAGTGCTGCTGGATTAGGTTTTTCATTTGCAATTAAAAAAAGAACAAATATGCACAAGTTTTGGGGGTCTGGGGTGGATTACCCCTATGCTTCGGGATATATTTTTTTTCTTTTTTTCTGGCAGAGGTTTCTTCATCCACATTGATTGATATGAATGGAGGAATCTGCTAGGTTCTCTTTTTTTCATTCAGCCCACAGGTTGCATGAAAAAAGAACATTACACATATGCCCAACAAGGACCAGTGATACACTGGTATGTTGCTGAACTTTGAGTGGTAATACTGGAATCATTCCTACAGCTACAGGCATCATCCTGGTATAATTTGTTTCACCCAATGGTCGGTTTTCATGTAAAAGCAATCCAAGAGGCTAATTAGCCACTGGATTGCTTTTACAAGCAGTGGATGGGGATCAAACCCCTCCCCCCCGCTGCCTTCCAGGGTTTTCTCGGGCTCTCCTGTCCCACCGAGGAACCCGGGAATGAAGCTGGTGGTTCTGCCTGCTGACCATAGAGCCAATCAGAGACCATCTTTATGGTCTAAGAAACCAGAAGCTCTGAGCATTTCATCACTTTGGTTTCACTGGATATAAACAGCACCATTTTTAAAATAGGAAAGCATATGATCACACTAATCTTGGTGTGATCAGATGCTTTAAGGGCAGAGGAGAGATCTACAGTCTAATAGTCTCCAGATTTAGAAGAGTACCTGTTACTACCTATTGCTATCATAGGGATGACAAAAAAAGTGATCAAAAAATAAATAAGGGAGTGAAGGCCATCGCGACAGGTCTTCCTGTGCTCTCTCTGCCCCACGCTGTGTGTTCCCCGGAGCTCAGTGGACACCGGGCGATCAGGTGATCTGCCGCAAGGGAGCTCTGGGAGGCAGAGGAGCGTTTCTTGGAGCAAGGGAGACGCCGGCTCTCCTCCTCCTGCACACAGGACCGTGGCAGCTGGAGACACGCAGAAATGGGCTGGGTGAACCCCCCTGCAATCCACTCATTGTGTGAGGGAATGTCGAGTGCAATGTTCCCCAGAAGAGAGTACCTAGAGCCGCCTCACCCCTCACTTGGAGTAAAGGAAGAGGTGTCCTAAAGTCCTCAGAGAAGGTCAATCTCTAAAGAAACCAGAGATCTCACATGGGGGAGAAGTATTCCTGTTTCAAGTGCGGGAAATGTTTTTCATGTAAGTCCTATTTTTTATATATACCAGTGATAACACAAGAGGGAGCAGCCATACCCTTGTTCAGAGTGCGGGAAATGTTTTTCATAGAAGTCCAGCCTTCATATATATCAGAGACCTCACATGAAGAAGATGCTATATCCCTGTTCTAAGTGCGGGAAATGTTTTCTCAGACAAAACTAGACTTTACATATATCAGAGATCGAACACAGGTGAAAAGCCATATGTCTGTCCTGAGTGCAGGAAATACTTTTCATTGAAGCTTAGTCTTCACACACAGCAGAGATCTTACACGGAAGAGAAGTTGCATACCTGTCCGGAGTGCGGGAAATGTTTTTCATGTAAGTCCTATTTTTATATATACAAGTGATAACATGAGAGGGAGCAGCCATACCCTTGTTCAGAGTGCGGGAAATGTTTTTCACAGAAGTCCAGCCTGTATATATATCAGTGACCTCACATGAGGAAGATGTTATATCCCTGTTCTAAGTACGGGAAATGTTTTCTCAGATAAGTCTAGACTTTACATATATCAGAGATCTTACACAGGTGAAAAGCCATCTGTCTGTCCTGAGTGCGGGGAAACACTTTTCAGTGAAGCCCAGTCTTCACACACATCAGAGATCTTACACGGAGGAGAAGTTGAATACCTGTTTGGAGTGCGGGAAATGTTTTTCAGAGAAGCCTTTTACTTCATATATGACAGAGATCTCATACGGGGGGAAACGCCGTATTGGGGATAAGAGGGGTGAGTGAGAGCGGCAAAAGTACTGAGATTAATATATTGCATGGGAACTGAACTGTATGTATTGAACTATATGTTTAAACTGAGGAGGGGTTCACCCAGGGGGTCTTAGAGGAAAATCAGAAGGAGGACAATGTAAAACAGATAAAGACCTAGAAGAAGAGGACCCGGGTAGATGAGATCGGGAGTGGGGGGGAGAGAAAAAGGAAGAAAAGAACTGAGAGGAGGATACCCATGGAAGACAACACATTTTTGATATCAAATCAAAAATAGACCTCCGCCCCCCAAAACCAGAACTGCGGAAAATTGAAATAGTTTCTGACAGCATAAAAAAACAAAGTATCAAAGGGAGGAGGGCCTAAGGCTTCCCAAACAGGGTCAATTAAAAAATATATACCCACACAGGAGAAACAGACTCCAGAGAGACAACAGGGAATAAGTAAAAGAGGTGAGAGGGAAAACGGCGAGGAATGTTCCAGACTATCCCTGGGAATAACTAACAGTAGTCAACATAAGGAAGAAGAAGTGGATATGGATAAAGTAGAAGAACAAGAGTAGAGCTCACAGATGCCTACTAAAGCAGAAATAGCAGAAATGTTTAAAGGAATTGAAAGATCCCTAAAGAACTGGCGAAATTACACAAAGATCTGGGGCAAATATTATCAAGGGTGGAGGAGATGGAAGAAAAATTAGATAAACATGCCCAAATTATACAGAAATGAGAAAAACAGTGATGGAAATGAGAAAAGAACAAAGTTCTTTTATAAATATATATAAAGAAATCTGTTATATAAATTGGAAGAATAGGGATAAGAGATGCAATCTAAGAATACAAGGCTTTCCAGAGATCTCCCAAGGAGAAGATTTGATGGGAATAATAACGAGAATGCTGAATACAATAATGGATAGAACTATAACAGAGCCACTCAAAATGGAGGGAGTATATAGAATAGGAAAATACAATACAAGAAGACAGAAAGAAAAAGCCAAGAGATGTAATAGTGCAATTCCATAATTTTCGGGATAAAGAAGAGCTTTGGAAGAAGATAAAAGGAAGAGCAATAAAAAAATATGGAGAAATAAATATACAGGGAGGAGGGTATGGGGAGGGGATAGGTAGTTTAAGACACTGCAAAATAGTGGGAGAAACATCAGTCTGGAAAAATCCTAGAGATCAAAGGGGAAGATGTGGAGGAAAGAGGAAGAGAGAAGAGATGGGGAAGATAGAGGTGTGGAGAGGAGAAGAATGGAAGAAATTCACTTTGTGACTTATAATGTTAAAGGGTTAAATAGCCCTGGAAAGAGATTTGGGATTTTTAAAGAAATTCGACATAGATTTTCTTCAGTGGTTTTTTACGGCAGACACATTTGGGGCAAGAAACTAATGTGAAATTAAATTCCAGATATTATCCAATGTGGTTTTATGCAGATTCCCCAATTAAACGTGCCAAGGGGGTGGCAATAGGTTTTGCAAAAAATATAATGTTTAAGCTGGAAGACAGATTGGTAGAGCCGGAAGAGAGATTTCTGTTTCTGAAGGGAAAATTACAGGAAATAGACTGTACATTAGCAAATATGTATTGCTCGAATAAGAAACCAGAGGTATTCCTAAAAAATACTCCACGGAAGTTAATGGATTTAAAAAAAGGCAATTTAATTGTGGCAGGTGATTTCAATCTCCGCATGGATCCCCAGATGGATATGATGTCCCCTGTGCAGAGAGATGGTAGTAGGTCTCTGAAATCCTTGAAAAAAATTATATATCAATGTCAACTTGTAGATATATGGAGAATTAAGCACATGAAGCACAGAGACTATACGTTTTATTCTCATGCACATGCGATGTATTCAAGACTGGATTATATATTGCTGGACCATCGACTTATCGAGTCTCTGGTCAAAGTAAAAATAGAAGTGATGTCAATATCGGACCATGCCCCTGTCACAATGCAATTATTATGGGGAAATGAGCAGATCGGGGGGAAATTATGGAGGTTAAATGAGACACTTCTCCAGGATTCAGAGGTGGATCAAAGAATAAAAAAATAAATAGAGCAATTTTTTGAGGAAAATGATTTGGGGAAGTGTCCGTAGCAACGGTGTGGGAGGCTCATAAGGCCTATATTAGAGGAATCCTGATAGCGTTTGGAGCAAAAAAGAAGAAGGAAAGAAGAGAAAAAATAAACATGCTTCTTAGTGAACTCTGTGAGTTAGAGCAGATACATAAACATAAAGTAACAAAAGAGATTATGCAGAGGGTAATAAATAAAAGAGAAGAATTAAATACATTTCTGGAAGAAGATAAGAAAAGAGTGTTCAATAAAATGATAAGTGAGAGATACAGATGGGGAGATAGGCCAGGAAACTATTTAATGAGGGCTCAGAGAAAAAAAAATCTAAGAACTAGCGTGCGAGCATTGGGACATGGGCACCTGCGATTGCAGCAGCGCTCGCACATGCGCACTCGCGATCGTGGACGCGTGCCTGGCGCCAATCAGGGCGCAGGGTGCCCTATTTAAAACAGGTCAGGGCTGTGTCTAGTTGCTGTATGGTCTTACCTGTATCCTAAGTTCCTGTATTGTAGATTGTCTTGTTGTCGACCCTGCCTGACCCTGATTTGCTGTCTGTCTCCTGTTCTGATCCCTGGCTTGTCTGACCATTCTCCTGCTTAATCCTGCATGTTCTGATCTTCTGTTACTGAACCCGGCTTGTGACTTGTTTATCCTTCTGCCTACTGATTTTGTACAACTCTGCCTCCACCGTTACCGACCCGGCCTGCCCAACGCTGCTCTTGTTACCTCCTCACATCAGGCTCTCACCTGCTATACACCTCCAGTGGTGTTTCTACCGCAGCTGGGTGAACCCAGGGACCGCAACCTGGTCCGGCCTGCTCCAAGTCCATCCCCACCATCAGGGGCCCTGGTGAACAAGCAGGTTGGGACTTAGATTCCGCTCCTTGGGGGATTCTGGTCTGTGGAATGCTAGAGGCTACCACCGGTAGGTACGTAACAGATACACAGTGAGATATTATAAAAAGATAAAGAATTATTAGTACCTAAAATGAGAATATATATGAATGCATTGGGAGGAGAGATGGAAATGAGGAGGGAATCCATACAAGCCCATGCAGTTCTCATACATAAGGAAGGTAAAGATGATACTCACTGTTCAAGTTACAGACCGATTTCCTTATTAAACACAAATACCAAACTATATACAAAAGTTCTGACAAACAGGTTGAAAGACCTAATGTCGGAATGGATACACATAGACCAAGTAGGCTTTGTCCCAGGGAGAGAGAGTAGAGATAATGGACTGAGATCTCTGTTTCTCATACAAGAAAGTAGGAAAGAGAAAATACCTGCGGTGGTACTCTCTATCAATGCTGAAAAGGCATTTGATAGAGTAGATTGGGGATATATGTTGGATACATTGGAAGTATTGGGGATGGGACCTAGAATGAGAGAGTGGATAAGGAAATTATATAGTCAACCCTCTGCAGCAATCATGGTTAATAGGGAATTGTCAGAATATTTTGGGATGCAGAACGGGGGATGCCCGTTTTCTCCATTGCTATATGTTTTATCATTGGAATCTCTTTTGGCTACAATAGGAATAATATAGATATAAAAGGAATTTGGATAGGAGATACAGAGCATTAGGTGGCAGCTTATGCATATGACATGCTGTTCTATGTGGGAAACCCAAGGATAGCATTGCCAAATTTTAATTAAATCACTGAAAGAATATGGGGAGATGTCAAATTTTAAAATTAACCCAACAAAAACAGAAATTTTAAACATAAATCTTCCAAATAGAGAGAAAAATAGGTTATAGGAGGAATTTCCCTTTGTTTGGAGAGAAAAAGAATTGAAATATCTAGGAATAAAATTAACTGTATCCTCCAAGAACTTGTATAAATTGAATTATATCCCATTATTAAATGAGATCAGGGATGAGCTAAGGAAATTAGGAGAGGGAACCCTGTCATGGATAGTTCGTATAAATTTGATAAAAATGGTGATTGTTCCAAAAATATTATATAAATTTCAAATGATACCAATTAAACTACCAGAAGTATACTTTAGATCAATTAAAAACATGTTAATAAGATTTATTTGGAGGAATAAAAAACCGAGAATAAGCCAGGAAATGTTATGTAGAAATAAAGAGAAAAGAGGATTGAGAGTCCCAGATTTAAAAAGATATTATAACTCGGTAATAATGGTGAGAATTTTTGACTGGACATATAATGCAGAGGGGACAAGCTGGGTTAAAATAGAAAATATACTAAGTAATACTAAATTATGTGGAATTGTATGGTTACCTCCACAATACAGAGGATTAGCAGACAGTACAATTTGTTCACATTTGATGTTTTAAGAGTTTGGGTTGTTTTACACAAACAAATGGGATGGGAATTTAATTCATTGTTAATGCCCTTAAAGTCCAGAGTTTTTCCCCCCCGGGTAAAGAAGGTATCACAGGGAAGTGGATTAAGAAGGAAGATGCACAATTAAGTGATATAATGGTGGGGGAGGAAATAGGATCACTTAAGGAATTAGAAAAAAAAGAAGTTTTTACGAGATTGGATGAGTGGCGTTATTTTCAATTGAAACACTTTATAGGAAAGCTTCCAAAGCCTTTAAGAATAAGAGAGGATTGGAATCCTTTTGAGCACTTAGGTACACGGGGAGATGGGAAACACGGAACCTCTAAAATATATAAGATTCTCACTGAAATAAACACAGATATAAGTCCTCCATATATAGAAAAATGGGAATGAGAAATAGGAGGTACAATAGATGCGGAAAAACAGAGGAAAATGTATAGAATAATCCATGGAAATATAAATATGCAGGAGGTAGAAATTAATTAGAAGTGTTTGGCAAGATGGTAAATCACACCGAGTGTGGCACATAGATTGAGTGGAGATAATTCACCTTTATGATGTCCTGGATGTGGAGGTAGCGGCACAATGTATCACATATGGTGGGAGTGTTCTAAAATA